GAAGTACGAATTATAGGACTTAGTCTAGTTCCCACAGCACCCTTTACACGCTTCACGAGCTTGGAAGAGCCATATCAGTTGGGATAGTTTTAGAGACCGTATCAGTTGGGCTAGTTTTAGAGACCATATCAGTTTTAGTCCTCTAAGGGGAGCATGATTCGTTTTTTCCTATATATTTGGCTTGGGAATCAAACTCTGGCTGGCTGACACTCTTAACATAGCTCAAAACCATGTAATTGTCATATCTAGGGCCGTGGAAATGGAGTGGGGACTCCCTTACCTGGACCCCTATGTTCAGAGAGCCCTTAAAGATGAAGAAGCATATGATATAGCTAATATGCTCATTGAACTCCATAGCGTCTACCTTCCATTGAATGGCTTGACAGGATAATTTGGGCCCTTTCACTTTCAGGTTTCTTCATGGTCTCATCCTTATTCCATGCTCTGTCATGTGTAAGCACCACAAACAATAGCTTCTAAAGCATGGGCCACTCAGGTCCCCCATAAGGTCCAATCCTTCCTTTGGATTGCGTTATTTGGAAAAACCCTCACGGTGGACCGGCTACATTGCAGAAGACTTCAGCTCGCTTATTGGTGTGTGGACTGGCTACATTGCAGAAGACTTCAGCGTGCTTATTGGTGTGTCATATCGCATGTGCTCCCTAGAAGAAACCTTGGATCACCTCTTCCTACATTTCAAGGCAGCCATGGCCTTTTGGTCCAAACTCCTCACGGAGTTTGACAGGCTATTGGTTGTCCCTCAGACAAGCTTTCCTCTCCCCTAGTACCCTAGAGGAGGTATCTTCCTTCTTAGGGTCTTGGTGATGGCAACTCTTTTGATCCATGTGGAAAGAGAGTAATAAATGTAGCTTCCAGGGTGCAAGCTTTACCTCCCAAGTCCTTCGGAACCTTTTGGAACCTCATCAAGGCTGTAACCATCTTCTGGGCCAAATGCAATAGGCTATTCTTTGACCTTCCTCCTGCTGCATTTCTCAGCAGCTGGAAGGACTTAAGTCTTGGCCCCATTGTGGCTCCTCCAATCATAGGGTCAGTGAAGCTTAACACATATGGATCGTCCCTAGGTAACCCATGTCCGGCGAGCATTGGCGGAATGCTTAGAGACCATCTAGAGGTAATCTTACTGTCCTACTAATATGTTGGTGTCATGGATTTTGCCTTTGCAGAGTCTAGAGCAATCCTTGAAGGGAATTGTATCCACCAGTGAATTGAGATCCATGGATATCACAATAGTAGGAGATAATTGCTGTATCATTGCTTGGGCATCCCTCATGGTGGGGGGGCCTCCGGCGTGTATACTAGATCTTTGACCAGATCTGTTTTATGTGCAAGGAGCTGAGAGTGTCCGTCTGCCATGTTTGTAGACTCTGTCATTGCTTGGGCATCCCTCATGGTGGGGTGTCCTCTGGTGTGTATACCAGATCTGTTTAATGTGCAAGGAGCGGGGAGTGTCCTTCTGCCATGTTTGTAGACACAAACCAGGCCGCTGATGCACAAGCAAGAGAAGGTGCAGCCGGGGGAGCCAACCCATCACATTAGCCTGTATGTTTCCTGTCTTTCTTCCCTTTTACCTCTTCTTATCCTCCCCCCTCCCTTCTTCTCTTCTCCTGTCTTAATCTCTTTTATTCTGTAACTCCTTTTTATCTCACTACCTCTCTTTTTCATTTCTCTACTCTACCCTCTTCACTCTTCACCACTCTGAAGCTGTCTTTTCATGACAGCACTGGCACACTTTATCTCTCCGCCTTCATTTCTTGCTTAAATCCTATGATAATCCTCTCTTTTTGTAATCTTTCTACTTCTTGTTACTCTACAAGAGCAAAGCACCAACTTAGCTGAGTTAGCTGTTTGCAATCCTAGCTGTTTGCAATCCTAGCTGTTTGCAATCCTCTTACTTTCTCCTCTCCCCTTTCTTTTCCTCTCATAGGCTACCCCACCCATTCTCCTTCATCCACCTCTTTCTCACTCTACCTCAATTCTCCCTTTGCACCACATTAGAGCACTTCTACTATGAGATGCCTACACCCACATTATAGCAATATACATACTAAATTGTTGCTATGTTTTGTACTGCTCCAAGGGAATGGTATTTCCTTCTCGCTCTCTCCTTCTCTCTCTCCTCTCTATCCTTCTCTTTCTCTCCCTACTGCTAGTGGGCAACTCTCGGTCTTATACTTTTTGGTTTTGGTGAGCTCCCAGGTTATGGCTAGCTGTACATCCCAAAATTTCACAGTCTAACCCGCTCTTTATATATCTTCTCCTCTTTCTATATTTGTCTCTCTCACGACCTCCTCCTCTCCTCTTTCTCATCTTCTTGCTTACACCCTTCTGGCGGCAGCCAAGCACCAGTAGGTTTCTATTCTCCTTCAATTTTTTTGGTCTCTTGTAAGACACCACATTTCGGAAAAAAAAGGAAGCAAAGAAGAGGGCGAAGGAAAAAGTATAAGTAAGAAGGATTAAAAAAAGAAAGTCAGGAAAAATGGATAAAAAAATTTATAACCCCTCCTTCGTTATCTCAAATAGTTCCATCTGACCATCTTCTATTCCTGCTCCTTGGCTTTCTCATTCTCTCATATGTTACTTGGTCTCTTTTACTTTTTATCTAACCACCTCTTCTCCCTCTCGTCCCCTTGCTTTCCTCATCCCTCCCCTCTCCTCCTCTCAAGCTAAAACTCGCACACTCTTTCCTCGCCTTAGATTACCCTCTCTCCCTTTTCCCTAATTTCTTCTCCTCCTTCCCCTCTCTATTCTGTCCCCCCTTCTATTCCTTCTCTCTCTCCCTTCTAAACATAGTAGAGCACTTTTGTGGGATGCCCAAACCTATATGCGAGGACAACACTCATTGGCCCGTGACGGGCTCCTCTACATGTTGGGTTCACCTACTAGGAGCACTCGTCTGGTGGGTTGTCCATGTAACTCTATATCTGTAACATGCTCCGCCTGTGGGCTGCCTGCACCACCTCTCTCTCTCTCTCTCGCTTAACCAGACCATGGGTCGCCCCATTTCTCTATACCTTAGGAATTTTGTCGGCTTTCAGCCTTTTGTATGGTGAAACCATCCAAGAAGCACAACCAGTGAGCACCCGAGCTTCATCACCCCCTCCCCCCTTTGGTCACCATGCTCCTCTTTTTCTCTTCCCTTGCCTTGTCATACCCCTTCCATCTCTTTGTGGCCTGCCATTTCTTTACCGCATACACTTGCATTTTGTGATGGGCGAATCCTCCCCTTTTTGTTGTTTCCTTTCTTATTCTTATGTAGAGCTCCCAACATGTGGTAGCCATTTTGATAAAATGTACAATTATAAGATAATTAATGCAGTCAAATATTCCCACAATAAAAGAATGATGAAACTCAATGTTCTCTACTAATTCACTTTCGAGAAAAAAACTAGGTTTTGGGGTTGAGCCTGTGATACAGTATGCAATTCTTAGAAGAAATAAAATTTTTGAGTGGCAAGAATATATCCCTTCCAATTTCATTAGTAGACAGTATGACAATTGCTGGGATACTCTCAATTAACATTACAAAAACTAAACCACAGATTCAATTCTAATTAGGACCCGGTTTCTATGCAGCCAAGCCCGCATATGTAGAAATGCGGGCCTATTAATAAATCTGTTTTTTAGATGGATTTTTGGACTTAATTTTTAAGGACATGTAATCTTTAACATGGAGATCATGAATATGAAAACATAAGTACATTTTAAAAACTAGAAATAATAATTCTAGTAAGAAAACTTTTAGACCATTAATTTCCATTATTTTTAGATGGAACACCTACTTGCATCCATCTTTAAGATGGATGCTTTACACTTTTTGGACAGCATATGTAGTCATGCAGTCCAGCCCGCCTGAAACCATTTTCCTTCTAATTATGTCACTATACTTACGGAAACACATGATAGGAAATAGAGTTATACTTTACGTCCTTAATTTTAAGGTTGTCATTGCTTGGTTTATGGCAGCTTCAGTCCAACAACTTTATACATGGTTTTATTCAATAAAGGAAAAATAATATTAGATATGGAAATATTATGTGATAATTAACTTGAACTTAGCCTATACTCTGAACTTTTGACATTCAACTGTTTGGGGTTGAGGAATAGCCTGTTGGTATGGAAATTTGTGTGTTGTTTATTATCTTGTGGCTTTTAAGTCTGATGTATCCTGCCAGAAATATGAAGAACTTAAATTATTTACTAAAAGATTTTACACAATATTTTTTTGTTGTGGGTTTGCATTTATAGTTTATTAAAGCCTTAAGGCACATTTTTACGTGAAAAATTCCCTCATGTGGTTCAGTGTGGGAATATTTTCACACCAATTAGCTGCCAATTGGTGTGAAACGATGCACTGGGACCAATTGATGTGAAAATATATCCACATGAGGGAATTTTCATGCGAATCAAATGTGGTAAGTCCCTTTTATCCTCCACAACATTACCTAAATCTGTAGATTTAAGAATTTGGAAATTAATTTGTCCATTTCCCATTAGATAATTCATTATTTGAGATATGAATGAAAACAAACTGGATCTTGCAATCTCATGGAGATTATTTTATTGCCATAAACCCTTGCACGAATCTTTTGGAGCTGAACAAAACCTTTCAGGTTGTTGATGGGCTTCCTCATGTCCTCAATGTGTCATGGCCTTTAATTGTTGTGCCTTCATATGTTACCTTCTAGTGCACCTCCATTTTTTGAAAATTCCCTTGATCATACTAATCTATCATAGCTTTTGAAGAGTATTTTAATTATAATTGCTAGAAATGACTATTATGTACTAGAGATTACCAAAACTATCTTCTATTCAATACAAATCTTGCTGCAGATTATAACATCAGAACTTATGACAAATTCTAATTGTAAGAATTTGTATGGAATGGACTAATAGACAAAATTATTAAGATGTGGCCAGCTTGATAGTATTATGATATCGTGACTGCTTTTCTCTTGGTTCTTGGGTACATTATTTTATAGGTCTGGAGACTCAACTGCTCGAATTTGGACAATTTCAGATGGCCCCTGTAGTGCTACTACACAAAGTGGGCCTTCCAAATCGCTGGTTTTGAAGCATTTCAAAGGACGAACTAATGAAAAGAGCAAGGATGTCACAACACTTGATTGGAATGTGAGTGTTGCTTGTGATTTGGGACTTCATTTTATGTCTTCTTTTTGTACTCTCAGTGGCGCTAATCCTCATCTTGCATTTCTTTTTCCTTTTATTCCATCTGAGCTCAAGTTCTTACCATGCACATGGAGTTTTTAGGCCCTGGCTAGCTTATAGATTCATATTTATATTTTCCCTCTCTCTGATTATTTTCAATTACATGAGTATCTACTTTGTAGGCTGAGGGGACCCTTCTAGCTACAGGTTCTTATGATGGTCACGCAAGAATTTGGACTAGAGATGGTGAGTAACTTTTTTACATTTTCAAGTGTATTTAGCCTAACAATCTTAGCTGCTTCCTCTTAGACTACATTGAAAAGGATTCGTGCTGCTACTACATGAAATTTTTCTTTGGTTTTTCATGCATCTTTCTGTAATGGCATTAGTTAAATAATTTGTATAGAAAAACATGGAACAGAGAATTAAGGATGACAAGGTAGTTGTATACGAATGGTCATAATGAGATCGAGATTGCTATTGGAAGTAAGCATCAATATTTTTTTTAATGAGGGCCAAATTGTTGATTTGATTGTATAAGGGAGCAGGACCGTTTGATTCTTTGCCCACTTGTAAGTCTATTCTTTTTGGCCACTGATAATTTTTTGAATTTCTGTTGTTCCTCTCTCTTGTTTCCACCCCTGCTCTTACTCTTCCATCTGTTGGAGTTTCCATCTGATATGATAAATGATGCCTTTGAGAACCGTAATGAAAATATTTAAGTCCTTTTTTAGAACCTTACTAGTTACTACTATTATTTTAATTTCCATTCATTTCTGTCAATGGTGTAACCCTGTTATTCTTTTGAATGTCCCAGATTTTTCAGCATATGTATATTTGCTTTCGGGTTTGGTTCAAAACCTTGAAATGTAAACCTTAAGGGCCTTTTTTAATGCTACCCGAGCCATATTTTAGATAGCATTTAGTAGTCTCTGCACCTGCTGTCAATGCTCTGTTATATGCCCTTGGTTGACACCTAATTGGATGGATTCTACCTTAGAAGTGTGCGATTTAATGGCTGCTCTGATATTAGAAGAAACATAACATCAAGCCAGCCATATTTTGGGGGCTGCAATTTGGGGGTAAGCACAATGTTGTGCTTATTTGCTCTGGCACTCAAACTAGCCCTAAATTGCTGGTAAGGTTCTGTTAGCTAAAAAAAGTATTTGGTAAAGGCTTAGCATGTATATGGTTGTTTTTTTCATTGGGCCTTTCGTGGTCTTTGATCATGGTCCATAAGATAGTATAGTTTACTTCAATTGCTCATGATGCTTTGGAAGAATTTGTATTAGTGATTGTTTGTACCTGATGTTTTTGACATTCCTCATTACATACATGAAATAATAATATTGTATCCATCTAGTTCTGATGCTCTTTATTACATCTTATATGTCACTTTTCAACCGATGTTTCCTGACACTGAAACTATTTACAAAAACATATAAACCTCCTTCCTTCAGGAGAGCTGAAGAATACATTAACAAAGCACAAAGGTCCCATATTTTCCTTGAAGTGGAACAAGAAAGGTGACAGTCTATTGAGTGGAAGCGTTGATAAAACAGCTATTGTCTGGGATGTGAGGAGTGGGGAGTGGAAGCAACAATTTGAGTATCATTCAGGTTATGTATGGTCTATGGAAGATAATGTCCTCTGTTCTTTTTTTCCCCTTTTTTGTGTCAATTAATTCTAACCCAAGATCTATCGTTCTGAACTATTGATTATTATTGCTCCTTTAGCAGCTCCAACCCTTGATGTTGATTGGCGCAACAATGTTTCATTTGCAACATGTTCGACAGACAGCATGATTTATGTTTGCAAGATAGGAGAGAGAGCTCCTATTAAGATTTTCTCAGGCCACCAGGTTAATGCTATTCCACACTGAATATCTTCTTTGAGGATCTAATTGGGCCCTTTGAATAGTATATTTGTTGCTATATGTTTTTATTATGTGTTTATGCTTGTAGATTGACAGTTAGATATCTGGAATAATGCATTAATGAATGTTCTTGTAATACCATATCCTCATAAGACCTCAGTAGCATTTGAGAAATACCATTATTGTAACAGAGTTCAATTTCTGCTTGCAATTGCAGGGTGAAGTGAATGCCATAAAATGGGATCCTACAGGCTCGTTATTGGCTTCTTGCTCTGATGATTTCACTGCAAAGGTGGTGACTTCATTATTTTGTGATCTACCATATAAAATTTGAATCTTGACCTTCCGATGTAGCAAACAAGATCTAGTTCAATTGCTTGTATACCTTTTCATTCTGCACTTATTGCAGTGTAAACATTGGACAACATTATGTTCACTATTATGTCTGTTGTACTACTTTATGTCCTGCAGTAAGCAAAATGTTGTTCGCTATATTATGGTGTAGGTAGATACCAACTATTAATGTGAGTGGCAAACATTAAAAGCAAGAAGAAAGAGAAGTTGCTAATTTACAATATGATTTGTTGCAGATCTGGAGTTTGAAGCAGGATAAATGCTTACATGATCTAAGAGAGCACACAAAGGTTTTCTTTACTTGCTTTTGAAGTATTGCTTTTCTTTTTTCACTGATGAGTGACGACATTCACATGGATTTTGACTGAAAAAAATACCACAGGAAATATATACTATTAAATGGAGCCCTACTGGCCAAGGTACCAACAATCCCAATCAGCAATTGTTATTAGCGAGGTAAGGGCACACTGTACCTTTTGTTTAAAGGGCAATGTTTTGTGGACTCTTTAACATATGGAACCTGTAGGGGGTTTTTCTTTGGCATTTTTTCCCTTGTTGTCTTCATTGCTTACGGACTTTCTATATAGATTTTGCATACAATGACACTTCACATCACCTCAGCTATGTGATGTTCACAGTGAATGGCTGGGGTATGTCGTTCTTTTGCGCAAATTGTGTCAAATTCTTTGACATACTTTGAATGGATGAATGACATAATTCAGCACACAAATCAGCTCTGCCTTGTTGGCATTTGATGGCTGATAAAGACTGTAACGATCAAAGATAGGAGAGACTTTTTTTTTTATGATTTTTTGTTAATAAAACACAAAGACAAAAGCTATAAATAGACTGGAAGACTCTGTTTTTTATGTTTTTTTTATATAAAAGAACTCAAAGGAGAGAATATTGGTCAAATGAACACAATACTTTGTTTTTGGTACTTTTGATAGAAAAGGAAGAAACAATAATTACGAAAAGAGACAACTGAGCTACTGAGAGAACAAGGAGAGACAGATAGAGAGAGAGCGAAAGAGAGAGAGAGAGAGGATCTTTGAATCACTGTATCAAAGGGTTAAAAAAAGGGATGGAGATGAGAGGTTTCAGATCTCCTGGTGAAGGATTACACTTGATACCCGGCTCCCTAATTAGCTCACTGAGATGAAACAGACGAGAGGCACAAAAAAAAAGGCTTGCTAGGACTTGGGTCTGAGACCACCTAGCAGTTTCTTTTTAAACGGACTTACTATCAGAGAAGACAACCCTTAATGAAAGACTTGGCAATTTTCTGGATTAATGTACCGAAATGAACCTATTAGATGATCTCACTTGAGAGATTCCGAGAGTAACTCCCATTCAAGCAATTGCTCAAAATTTTTTTTTTTGGATGAACTTAACCTGTAATTGCGCAATATTCAACTCTTATGCTTCATTTAATTGGAATGGTTACATGTTGGATCCTTATTGTCATCTAAACTTTATCCCAACTATTTGGGGTCAGTTCCACGAATTCTGTTATGCTATTCCGCTCTATAAGAGCCATACCCTAATCAAACCATAAGTCACAATATTCTTGTCGCTACTTCCATGCATGTCCTTTTGGGCTTTTACCTTACACTTTTAGTGTGTTCCACAATGGTTACATATTTATATAAGAAAAAGGGCCTAATACCACCTTTACTTCATTTCAGGTGGTTTACATCAAGTCATTGGAAAAAACTTAAAGATCCTATAAGAGGGGCTACTTTAACCCATTTTTACAAAAGTTAGGACTTCTCATCTTTACATCGGAAAAGAAATCTTTTTACATAGCTAAAAAAACAAAAGGACCCTTTTTAACCTGAAGTTCTTCAATACAAGCAATTGGAATCTCTTTTTATAAACCTGCTTTATAAAAGTGAAGGAATCTGATGAACTTACTCTGTAAAAGTATAAAGGAATCTTCTATAATTATTGACTTTCCAGTACATATACCTTTTTTTCTTCAATGGCTTTATCTAATTCTTCCTTTGTTTCTTTATCTACAATGCCCATTATATTTCTTTGTTCTGAGAAAATGGCTCTGATCTGCTTTGGCGCACTTGAGGGACATTGGGCTGCACAATACCCTTCTTACTTACAAGCATAACAGGGTCTTGTGGATCATGTTGTTTAGTCTAAAAGGCCTGTTGTTTTTGTTGAAACTGAAAGTCTGAAAGGCCTTCTATGATTTTTTTTTATTTTGGAATTTTTGGAATATTATATGTTTCAACTCCTTTGATACTATTGCACATCTTAGGATCAATCTTAAGGAAATGTTTTGATGCACCTATGTGATACTGTAACTTTTTAATTTCAAGGCGAGCAAATATCCAATAACCTCAGATAATACTAAAGAATCTAAGGCTATGCCCTTAATCGAAATTGTTTCTACCACCATCTCAGCAATACTTTCTGGAGCACCTAAATATGTAGCATTATGCATAAGCCTTCTGTGGAGTCCCATCCTATAACTTTATTGGATAAAGCTTTTAGAAAATTTCTCAAATTTTTCTAGTTCAGTCAATTTTCTTTATGTTAATAATATCATGTCCATAGCTGCCTGACTAGCATGTTGAGCTATCAGCAAATTTTGAACCCAGCTCAACCAATCCTCTTTCTTTGATGGCATATTTTTCCTGGTTAGTTGACTTTTGTCACCAATACAGAGCTTTTCATTGGAACGTCCTTACAATACTATCCACATCTTCTTTGACCCATGTTCTCATTTCTTGCATCATATGACAATGATGGATCCAAGAAATTGTGTTTCTTCTCCTCCTCTGGTGGTGGTTAATCCATTTATATTCAAAATGGAATATCAATTCCAAGATCTCTTATTCCTTAAATTGCCTCTGTGAATCTTGTCATTTTTATTTGGGGATTAATGCTAGAATTTTAATAATTTATCTCACTGTTTTGTTAGGGCTTAGAATTTTAATCATTTATCTCACTGTTTTGTTAGGGCTTTCTTGAAATACTAAAGAATGCCTTTGATTCTAGAATGCTTTGATTCTTCCTCTTTTTTTCTTCTTCTTATGAGTCTCTCTTTCTTTTGACATATTCAAATGATCTTCATGAATTTCGAAATTTTTTTCTTTTCCCTTGTATTTTTCTTTTTTCTTCATGTTGTTTTGTTTCTGCCAATAATTCAAGATTTTCTTGATTTCGTTAAGCTGATTTTTAATCGCGGATAATCTTCATAAATTTCTAAAATTTTTTCTTTCCCCTTGTATTTTTCTTTTTTCTTCATGTTGTTTTGTTTCTGCCAATAATTCAAGATTTTCTTGATTTCGTTAAGCTGATTTTTAATCGCCGAGATATACTTTTCAGCAAATGAAGTCCAATGCAACAAATAATTCAACTGCCTAGTTTCATCACTCTGAACTTTCTGGGAATTGATATTTTGCAGCAGTAAATAACTGGCATCAACTCTCAACATAGAACACTTTCTTCCTGTAATTGAGTAGGGGTATTTGTGGAGTAGGCTATTTATGGCAGCCATACTCCATCTACTGCAATTTTTTTTCATCATCTTCACTTATTTGAGTAGTTTTGAACATTTTTATTTGGGCAGAATTTGTGTTTGGAGAATTTAGCCTTTGGAGGAGACTCCAATTGGATTGTAGGCAAACAAGTGGAAGAGCTTTGATGATGAGGTTCTGAATGGATTAAAGAAATTGTTCAATAATGAATATCTGATCTATGAGGTTTTTTGGGAAGCCAATTAAAATCTACTCTTTTTTTTTCATAGATCTTTGAGAGTCTAAATATTTAGAGATATTCGGAAAACCAGTGATAAACGCATTAGTATTTATAGTCGGTCCTAATTCATCGACATAGTTTGAGTATTTTGGTAAACATATACCATAATCTAACCTAGAACAGATAACAACACTATCTGTTAAATGGAAAAAATACACTTTGATGCTATAGCAGCATATACAGACCACCCTTGTAACAAATCTATTCTTGTTATCTCTATACAATTATAAAAGCTTTGGTAATAAACCCATCATTTAAACATAATGAAAAATTGGGTCGTATAGCACAAACCATCTTTGTCAAAATTACCCCTAAATTGACATAATAAAGCTTTTTCCAGGTTATATGCATAACATCTAATAAAGCCACTAAATTAAATTATAACTAGAATTTGAATATATACTAAAATATCAATTTGCGCAATATTACTTTCATTTTTTTTATCAATCCACCTTTTTACTTCAGTTTTTTCAGAAAAAGGGTAAAAATGTTGGACAAAGACCTTCACCCTTTACATGTAAATTTACTTCTGTTTTACAAATGGATTTTAACAGTGAGTCTAAAAAGATATATAATCCAAATATTCTTTTTTTGACCTCCGGAAATTTTATATTTCCTTGTTTATCAATAAAACCTTCTTGCTTAATGATGAAAGAATGGAAAGAAGAGGTCCCAGTAAGCTGAGGAATAGAATTTGGATTTCCAGGGTATTCTGAAAAAGCATCTCAAGCGCAGGTAAGAGAATTCCTTGAAGATGAAAAATCTGAAGCTGATGCAGACGAATGTCGAGGGCGAATCATATTTTGACTGAATTTCCTTTCATATTCTAGTGATCCAACAATTTGTTTAGCAACTTTGTTTCTTTGTTATCTTCGTATTTATTAAATATTGGAGGTTGAGTACAATCTGTCTGTTTTTCCTCTGATTTCAGATTTTCGTAATCCTCAAATCGAGAAGGTTTAGATATATCATCATCTAAGGATTCTCGACTTTGTTCCGCCCTTTTCTTTTTTTCTTTATCTTCTTATATCTTGAGATTTCTCTTGCCCTTTGGATTGAGGTACTGAAATTCTTCTGCTGACTCTTTTTCAAGATAGGAACGGACCAATAAACAGTTCTCAACATAACTTGAAACCACCCATCTCAATCAAGAGCTTCTCGATGAGAAAGTATGTAAATTTTGGGAAATTATCCAAATACTCATAAGAGATGCACAATTTAACATTTTCGCTTTTGCAACCATTCCAACTCATGATCTTGTTCTTTCCATGTGTATTTTAAGTAAAATCAAACGATATGAGTAAAGTGTTAAATAGTTAATATCTCATGGATCTTTTAATAAATTTCCCCAAAAGAAAATAAAAAAAATGGAAATCCACGCATACTTCTCAAAAAAAAATAGAAATTTCCCCAAAATTTTTCACCATCCAGCTCTGTGATATGTCTCTTCACTAAACAATCTTATCTATAGGGATCAGTTCTGTTTTCCATTCTGAATTTCCAATACTCCTTTGAATTCGATGGACTGATATTGGCATAATGATTTATCAGGAAGGATATACGTGAGCATATGTTCACCAAACTATTTGGAAAGTATATGCAAATGCATTTTTTTTGGCTCATACTCAAAATAATCCCAGGCTCTGAATGGGTGATCTTTTCAGGAAAATTCCTTAGGGAAAATGATCTCTTATTGTAATAAATTTATTTTCGACCATCCCTTTTTCTCATTTGGAACAAAGTTGCTGAAGAAATGAGAAAGACTAAAAACTGACTTATGAAGTAGAAAAACAGCTAATCCCACCATGTCTGTTAGCGCAATAATTGGACAGCAACTGTAGGTTATGGGCTCACAAAGGAAAATATTCGACATGGATGACCCTTTTTTTTTATTTTTATTTTTATTGTGATTTCTATAAGAAACTTCACATCATATTAGCCATCCGATGTCTACAGGGAATGTCTGGTTTATCTCAATTTTTTTGACAGACTTTGACTAGAGGAACAATGCAACTCAACTAATGCCTTTTTGACATCTGACGGCTGGAGTGATGTGAATAGAGATTTTTTTTCCTGTAATTATTTCTTCCATGTATGTGATATTCAATATTATTCTTTTGGTACGGTGCCTAATGATATATTCATGGCACGTTGGGAGCTTAACCTGAATCATAACTTGTTAGTTAGATATGACTTCTCCCACGAGGCATGTCTATTGTGGGTTCCTTGTTTCCTACGAAGTTCTCCTTTGGTGAAAGCAGTGACAGGAGCGGAGCCTTGTTTGGTGGTTACTGACCTAACTCTAAAATCTTTATCATCAGAATTTTTTTTTGTTTGGTAACTGTTTGATAGCTGAATTTCATTAATATAAAACATTGATGTGCAAGTGTGTTTCTTTTCTTCCCAAAGCTGAGTCTTCATGTCCTATCTCAATATCTGAAATTCAGTGACTGTTACATGGGATTTGGATATGCTTCCTTTGCTAGTGCACCGACTTCTTCATTTGTCTTCCTCAGGTGTAACTTTAAATTGGTCTTATGGTTCGAAATTTCTTCAACGATGCCGTCATCTGCCAAGGACCGGTGTTCCTGCCACTACCTAATGTTATGGCATTGGAGGAGTGCCATTCTATGAGGATATCTTTACTTTTCGTTTTGAAATTCTTGCGCCTGTGAGTTTTGATCTGATCTCTACCTCATTTGAAGTACAGGCATGAAGTTTGTTAAGATCTCGCTGTGATGGTCCCTCAGTAAGCCACATATGGCAGCAGGTCCCAGGTTTCCTAAGAGCTGCAATCAATGTTTAATTTTGAGCAATCTTTAGGTGTACGATGCCACATTTTCTGCTTGTATCCATTGAATTGGTTTCTTCCCTTCTAGTTTCCAGATTCTTTAGGCCTGTAATAAGTGAACTGATTGTCACCTCATTTGAAGAACACGCAGGGAGTGGAACATAGTGGGTCATTAAGATCTTTTGGTGAAAGTCTCTCAAAAGGCAACCATACTAGCCCGTCTTCTCCATGAGAACTGCAATTGAAATTTAGATTCAAGCAACCTTCATGGGGAGGATGCCACTTTTGCTGCTTACTTATCTGCTTGTCTTCTAATTGGTTTCAAAGTGCACCATACTACATCCAAAAGTTCTTTTCGTGACTTTGCCCCATGATATAATAGCAGCTTTAATTGGTGTTTTCATGCTTTCCACCCGTTCTCCCTTCCTCCTAAAGCACATGCTTCTATTTTTCACCAGATAATTTGGCCTCAGACCACAATCACAGGTCCTTGATATGTGCAGCCCATGGTAAACAGGAAAAAAAACCAATAGAACAAGCCATTGATTTCCATTTGGTCTCTCTAGCTGAAGTAAGGCCCTTCCACTTAAAGAGCGTTGAAGAAAATATCACCGGAGTATGGTGGCTTGGTTTGGTCGGCCAACCTATTAGTAAAAACTACAGTCCTGAGCCCTGGCTTATTGATGTAATTTTCTTTGCGTATGTTGTCGCAAATTTTTTCAATTGTCCTGTACTAGTGCTCCTATGTGAAGAATTATTTTTAGCTGTTTTATATGGAGAGCATCTCGGGATGGAAAAAATAAGTAACTGCAAGGTCTAGATCACTATTTTTTTGGGGAGACTATACCTCAAGCAGGATGAGATTGGTTATGTTGTCTCCATGATTTGTTAATAGTTAGATGTTTGTGTAAGGAATGAATTGGAATGTGGAAAAAGAAAATGGAATGTATAATTATGTTTCTGTTGGTAGGCTAATCTTAGGGACAACAAGATTCAGTATTGTTTCGATTTGATTGCAGCTGGTATTTTTTTTCTTAGATGCTGGCCAGAAATCTGGCATGGTACATAATAGAGGAGATAAAGGTGACAAAATCTAGATGTGAACTTATTTAAGAAAACTAGAAAATCAATGATTATAATTTCCAAACGGATGGGGTTTCTATGAGTCAGCCGACTCATACTGTACACATGCGGGCGCCTTCTTAAACCTATGTTAGAGATGGATTTTTAATGCAAGATTTTAGAGATTTATGATCGAGGTTAAGATGATCATGAATATGAAAAAAATATACAAAAATTTTAATATTTAAAATATTATTCCAAAGGGAATTTCTAGGCTGTCCAAATTTATTTTAGCCCCGTGGTTTTTCCACAGCCTCCATCTTAAAGATGGACATTGGTGAGTCAGCGGGGTCTTGCACTCGCTGACTCACAAACAACTTTTCCTTTCCCAAAATTTGTTAATTTGGGTCTTGTTTTGATTGCTTGAATGATTTTTTTCCTCCAAGAACTGAAATGAGGAATTGAATGCCTATGTGAAGGAGGTGAAAAAGTTTGCCATCTATACTTTGGGGGTTAAAGTACAATTTCTCTAAGTGCCCAGGACCACAGAAATACTAAGGAATATGAGCAATGACATGCAACTGTCTGAAGGGAGTAAGAAGTTTTAACATTTGTACCATCTGTGTCAAAGCTGGAATGTAATTATCCCATATTTTCTTCTGTGGAGTCTTCTTGGACCTCACGAAAGGTTCACTTGATATGACTGTGGGATACATAGGCAAAGCATGATCAATGGAAATCTTGCGTTTTTAATATTGCTTAGTTAGTTCTGTAGCCATTTATGATACCACAGTTATCAATGGAAAAGCTAATCATCAGAAACATAGTCTATGATAAGACATTTGAATGTTGCAAATAAATAACTAAAAACTGAATCCAGATTGTGTTTCAGTATTTTTGTTCTTGAGATGACACCTCATCATCAGAATTAAGTAGGTATATTATCTTTATTTATACAATTTGTACTTAGAGAGCTGAACCATAGTTGGGTTGTTCCTCATGTGGACTGTAGTTGATATATTCATTTCTGTCTCAGTGCTTCATTTGACTCGACGGTGAAGCTGTGGGATGTGGAGCAAGGTGTTATGCTGTCCAGCTTGAATGGTCACAAGTATGATCTTGACTGTCTTTATTTCTCTATTTTTTATTTGTTATTTGTTCATTTTTTGGGCCTGGGTTGTGATTATTCCAAGTTTTCTGTTTTGGCAAAATTATCAGAGAACCTGTGTATTCAGTTGCATTCAGCCCGAGTGGAGAGTTTCTGGCAAGCGGGTCGTTCGACAAATGCATACACATCTGGTCCGTGAAGGATGGGAGGCTTGTGAAGACTTACACAGGAAGTGGAGGGATATTTGAAGTGTGTTGGAACAAGGAGGGCGACAAGGTTGCCGCTTGCTTCTCCAACAGTACAGTCTGTGTTCTGGACATCAGAATGTAGAGATTTGTGTATGGCTAGCCCATCCCCCATCAATTATGTCCTGTGGTTTACCAGTTCCATAAGATTATGCTCCATTGGGAGGTTTCGCCTAGGTCAATGGTGATGGTGATCTAGCACTTGGGGCACTAGTTATTGTTTGTGTACCCCATTATGTAAAATATTGCCATGCACAATCACTGCATTTGATGTTAGTGTGCGCTCAAGATTTGGTTCCACTAGCAATCCATGGAAATCTCGTGTAATGGCCCCTCTTCCTCAAGCCCAACTTTCAGGGAGAAATTCGATGTTTTAGATAGTAGTTAAGACTATGAGTGGTCCATTAACCGCTCGTGTAGATAACTGGGAGTTATATTTACTAATATTTAATGTGTTTATGGTTTTGACAGTAAATATTTACTTTCTCATGCCATCTTCATTTCTTCAAATTTAGTAAGCATAAATTTCAGCAATGAACTCCAAGTTTCATTTGCACAATCCGGATCAGTTTTTACATGGGTTCCATGAAAGCTTTTCTAAAATATTTTTTTAGGATTTGATTATGTACATCTCCCATTAAGTCATGAGGTACCCATAGTTGGCCAACGGATGTGCTACCACCTTCTATCTCCATCATTGACACAAGTTGAATCCACAGCTCTCCTCAATTTCCAAGTGAATTTTGACGGATATTGAGGGAGTCAATCATACTACTTTGAATGATTGTGTATCTCTGGAAAAGAGAAAATGATTGACATCTCTGCAAAATAGCGAAAATGATTGTGATCTCTGGTCGTTTGCTTGTGCCCAGTTTTCTTCCATATTGGCTCCATTGCATCGTGACAATGCGAGAAGATACAAACGTTCTCAACTGTTTTGATATGTTGTCTTGAATGCTATGAAGTTCCTTTTGAGCCTCTTCAATATTATGCAAAAACTACATTGGTCTGCGGAATATATCCTTCAGATTTCAGCAAACTATTCAACTTATCCATCATATCGTAGATCTCCTTCACCTTTGGGTGTTTCAGGTCCCCTGCAACGAACTCATGGATCTTGTTATCGACTTCAATTGAGCTACACCCAGGCTCCTTTACTATTCCGCTCTCTCTCATCAAGGTCCTCACTCTTGCCACCTCTTCCCAGTTACCAGCTGCAGCATAAATGTTGGAGAGAAGAACGTAGGTTCCAGAATTCGCATTTCCACTTTGAACTATGAATTCAGATATACTTTTCCCTAGCTTGACGTTTCCATGGAGCTTGCATGCACTCAGAAGGGCCCCCCATATAACTGGGTCAGGTTCAATACTCATGCCCTTCACTAGGTTGTATGCTTCTTCCAAATGCCCTGCACGCCCGAGAAGATCAACCATGCAACCATAGTGTTCTATCTTCGGCTCGATTCCATACTCTTCCTTCATGGATTGCAATAACCTTTGACCCTCTTTCACAAAACCTGCATGGCTACATGCATTGAGCAGCCCAATGAATGTTATATCAGTAGGGGTAAGCCCTAATCCACACATTCGATTAAAGAGTTTCAATGCCTCTATGGTCTGTCCATGCATGGCATAGCCAATTACCATTGCATTCCAAGCTACAACATCTTTTCTGAGCATAGCATTAAACACAGAGCGTGCATCCTCCAAGCTCCCACACTTGCAATACATATCTATGAGAGCAGTGCTAACGAACAAGTTTGAAGAAAAGCCATTGTTATCGATGTAAGCATGGAGCCACTTGCCTGAATCCAATGCCCCTAAATGAGCACAAGCCGAGAGCACTGAGAGCATGGTTACTTCGTTGGGTTTTATATTCTCTGAGAGCATTTGTTGGAAAAGAGTCAAGGACTCACTGAAATGACCATGTTGGGTGTACCCATCAATTATTGCATTCCAACATATGGCATCTCTCTCATTCATTTCGTCAAAGAGCATTCGAGCATCGTCTAACTCGCCCCTCTTTGTGTAGCAGGTGATCATGGCAGTGTAAGAAACAATGCTTTTGTGGAGCATTTGATCGAACAGTTGACGAGCAGCTTCGAGCTTCCCAAACCTCGCATACATGTCTATGAGTGATGATTGAACGAAAGAATCATCGCCCAATTGAAGTTTAAGGACATGGCCATGCGCCGCCTCCCCTTCTCTTACTAGAAGTTCCATTGAGAAGGCTTTCAAGAGGGAGGAGAAGGTATAGGCATTGGGCTCAACCCCTCCATCCTGCATTTGGTAATACAGGAGGATGGCCTCCTTATATAATCCATTCAGTGCACAACCCCTAATTATAGCAGTCCAGAAGAATACATTGGGTTCATGCACTTGATCGAAAAGAAGGCGTGCTTGGTTCACGAGACCGGAAGATGAGTACGAGCGAAGGAGTTTGAATTGCAACAAAGGGTTGCGGTCCAGACCATTTCTGAGGATGGATGCATGGATTTGGACGAGGTGAGAGGCGGTTTTGCATGAACCTAGCAATAATTTGATCCTGTCTGGTAGTTGGAGGTGAGGAGGCCTGGTGAGGGTTGGGTTGGTAATAAGAGAAGGAGATTGGAGAGAGCAGTAGAGGTTGAGGGAATGTGAAGATGGCGGGGACATGGTGAAGACGACGACCATGATTCTTTTGTTCCTTCCTTTGCTCCGGCAAGTTTTTGATACGTGCTTTGGAGCCTGGTTTTACGACTCGGTTTCTCCAGGACAGGGAATCATCTCCAGTTTCACAAAGTCGTTGGTTCCACTCTTTGGATCCTGTATTTTTTTTTTGGTAAAAAATTATGTAATCTCCTAAATTTTAAAAAGGGTTATAGAAAAAAGAAAAATGTTTATAAGTGAGAGTGTTCCGAGGTTAGAAAACCTTTTAATTGAGGGCCTGCATGAATATAAAGAAGAAGTTTATTTCAAATTTTAAAAATAATGTATTTTGTAACAAATTATCTAAACGGTTTATTTTCAAGATTTTCAAGTGCTTATTGCTTTGGGCAAGCTTCCTAGGCTTCCTTGACAACATAAAACTTATAAGCTTCCCTTTATCCAACCATCCATTACGAATGGAGGGCTAAGATTGTCTCAATCACAATATCACGTGTCTATACTATTTTATTTTTAATATTTTTTATATAAACTATTTTGACACCAAATTTTGTACGTCCAATCCTCTATTAAACTTGCACTATCGAAAAACATAAAAACAATATATCTAATAAAATAAAATGACCAAAATACCCCTGACAGTTTCAAGGGGTATTTTGGTCATAATATTTTATCGAAAAAGTATTCGTAATATTTTTTACAGGTGCGCCCCAATGAGAAGATGACACATACCAAAATTCATATCTATACAATTTGTAGTAAAAAAAAATAAAAATAAAATACCTGAAGATGTCGGATCGAAGATCAAACGGTGAGTGGCTCTCTTAATGAAAATTGGACGGCTAGATGGTAGGAGAAGCATTGATTTTCTATGCTGAAACTTGATTTATTCCCACCAAAATCACAATGCCTTGATGATTTATTCCCTTTTTCAATACTAGTTTTACTGATACTTGATTTTGATTTGGAAATCAAAATGAATATGAGGAGATATGAAGGAAAGTGCCTTTTTGTCAAATTTGCCATTTTTGGGTGGATTTTTGGGCCCATATGAAATCTGCCTTATAGATTTTAGTATTTTTGGGCTCATTTTAAAAGAGTAAAGATCTTATGAGACCCTTCCACATCCATGTATGTAGGACCCCAAAGGATCACTGTTAAATTTGGCACAGATCTCTAAAAAAGTTATCACATGGGTGTGAGTCTTGACTTATATAGAGATCTGTGTCAAATTTAATGGTGATCGTTTAGGGTCCTCCACACATGGGTGTGGGAGGGACTCATAGGATCATTACTCATTTAAAAAATATGCTCATAAAAATTCTAATGTTTTTGTTTTGAACCGAATACTTCCGCATTATATCTATTCAATGCTCATGGATGCATCATATTATTTGTTTATTCTTTATTACATTGTTGCTTATACATCTGATTTATTGATGGATTTTACATGAAGACAAAGATGCTGACTTTACTTATTAATTAGTATTTGTTTAATGTGGTTTTTTACTTTTCTTGACAGATATCGGCTTTACTTGTTATGTCTCAGATGTACGAGTGCAGATTGGTTTAACATAGAGTTGGTGAAATGATTTCCTTGCTAGGAGAAACAGAGGGCGCAGCAAAATCCTTGTCTTTGGAAGCAGATTGCATTAAGGCATCTTTTTTATAGTTCAATTGAAAGATAATTATGTTGTGTTGTCTCGATTCATAGAATTGCATCATTGTCCTTCGATGTATGTTGGATATTGGGATTCTCTTAGTTTTAGGTTTTGATACATTGTAACTTGATTTTTTTCATGTGGTGCTCGAATAAAATATGGTTATGCTTTGGGTTATTGATCATTGGGTAGGCAGGTGAAAGTGCTTGTGTGTGGAAGGAGTTGTTGAGCAGGAGATGTTTTATGATGTAAAAAATTAAAACCAGAAGAAAATAAAAATAAAAAGTTGAGAGAATATACCATCTCTCAAGGTCTGCAAGGGAATTCACTCCAAGGTTGAGAGCATATACCCTCTCTCAAGGTGTGCAAGGGAATTCATCCTAAAGTTGAGAGAATATACCCTCTCTCAAGGTTTGCAAGGGAATCCATTCCAAAAATCTCTTAACGATACCAAATTTTATTAACTAATATACCTCTTTTGCATTGAAAGGAAACCTTCCTTTAAATAGATTAAAAAATAAGATAAACATTAACAAGAAATACTCTCTCTACACTTTTCCTATTTTATCTATTCTTCCCTATTTTCTCTCTTCCCTTAACCTCATGTACCATAACCTTATCCTTTTACATTCCTAAACTAGCTCCCCTAATTTAACCTTATCTATTTATATTTCAAACTAAGTAACCCATATCAGTCAATAACTAATTAACCCAAATCCATAAATATCAACTCACACACAAACTCAATGCCCACAAATATCCCTGCGCACCTCCTCTCCTATTCTTGAAGAGATGAACTAAAGAATAATAAAAAATTAAAATAACCCTAATATTATTTGCATCATTCTCCCCAGTGATGAAGTCCCACCATGAGTCTCGATACTTTTTCTTCAAAACTGGTGCCTGCAACTGTATTCCAAGAGTAATTGTTGAATACGAGCTTGGGCTGATTATTCCTAACCAGGAATGGGTACAGCTCCAAATAAACAGCAAGTTCAATCGATGAACACGCTTGACCATGAAATTTTGGGAGATCCATTTTAATGTCAAACTTTCGTGGTCGTTCTATAGGACGTTTCGGATCTGGCTTCTCTATAGAACACGACGGATTTGGCTTGTAAATTTCTTCAATATGCTTGAAATCAACACCTTGGATTTGTCATGGAATTATCGGTGCAAGATGAATGTGGTTGTGAGTACTTTCTTCACGAGGAAGATTATTCTCCAACCGCTGCAACCTCTGATTCATCTCACATACTTCAATTCGAAAATCATCTAGGGCTTTAGTAAACTTTTCTACCCAACGATAATTCATAGCAGGAGTAGGATTAGCTTGATTGCTTACGTCTAACTTGCTAGCTTGATTGCTTAGATCTAACTTGCTCTCAGGATCTAACTTCTTGCTCTCAAGATCTGACTTGCTCTGATACCAATTGATGCAAAAAAAATAAAACAAAAATAAATAAATATAAAAAGTTGAGAGAATATACCCTCTCTCAAGGTCTTCACTCAAAGGTTGAGATAATATACATCTCTCAAGGTCTGCAAGGGAATTCACCCTAAAGTTGAGATAATATATCTTCTCTCAAGGTCTGTAAGGGAATCCATCCAAAAAATCTCTTTACGTGACCAAATTTTATTAACTTATCTACCTCGTTTACATTGAAGGGAAACCTCCCTTTAAATATACTAAAAAATAAGATAAACATTAACAAGAAATACTCTTTCTACACTTTTCCTATTTTATCTCTTCTTCCCTATTTTGTCTGTCTTCCCTTGACCTCACGTACCATCCCTCTTATCCAAAGCCTAAAAACTTACTTTTTATTTAACCTTATCTTTTTACATTCCTAAACTAGTTTCCCTAATTTAATCTTATCTATTTATATTCCAAACTAAATAACCCAAATCAATCAATAACTAATTAATCCAAATCCATAAATATCAACTCGCACACAAAGTCAATGTTCACAAATATCCCTGCGCACCTCCTTTCGTATTCTTGAAGAGATAAACTAAAGAATAATAAAAAATTAAAATAACCCTAATATTATTTGTATTATTTTCTTTCTCTAAAAATTACTTGGTTTTTTTGTCTTTTTTAAGAACTAATATGTGGTTCTCTCTCTAAGACAAGTGGTTTTTTCTCTTTAAGAGCCAGGTGATATGTATCTCATAATTCTCGGATAAGTACTAGGATTTGTTTGAAAGGCAAAATGGTCTTTTGTCATGCTTAAAAATTGGAAGTAAATTAGTGTCCGGATTTTGGATCTTATATAAAATTTGAATATTCAAAATTCGATGGGATTTGGATCTGGATTTGGATCCGGATCCAATGTATACTATTCGGATCCTCTGGATCTGGGTGGATCCAGCCCCGATCCAACCCATTTTCATCCCTACACAATAAGTGGACACGCCAGCCCATCTTTTCCCGTCACACATAGGACATGATGTGGCTGCCATGTGGCACCCATTACTTAGGTACCACATGTGTGGCTGTTCTCAATTATCATTGCGTCCAAACAAATTGAAAATCCTCAATTTAAATTAGTTTGGCATCACTAAAAACTAAGTGTGAGAGAATTTAGGATCCTATAAAAAAACAAATAGGTGACTAGGGCACTCCCCTCTGCTAGATCCAGAACCCTAAGTTATTTTTCTCGGATTGGCCCAACAAGGCTCATCTACAGACATTGAAAGGACCCATGGTTGGCTCATCAAAGCCAACCTCATGTATGGTTGGGTCCTAAATTTATAGTGGATTGAAGGTGCGCCTCGGATGACATACAGTCTTGCAGATGTAGGGGTCCTCTATCTTAGCACATATGCGTAACTCTCTCGATGGGGATCTTGGCTTGAGAGAGCGGCTTCATATTTGCAATGGTATATGCGCATGCGGTGAGAAGGCTCATGGTCATGGATTTTGGTTTATATCCTCTTAAACCCCAGTCGACTCACACACAACACATAAGAATACTCGAGCTCATAGTAGTTCTTAGAAATAGGCACCCCTAACTCACATTGCCATGAGGTATATACACAAACCTTGAATAGAGGAAACGCTCCAAACCTTTTGGTTCAAAAGCCCCTCAAGCACATAGACCTCCCTTCAAATCACATTTTGCCACGATCCGGTGAGACCAGGGTTCTGGATCACTCCCACTATCATAGATAACCGCAATAGACTGTTGGAATCGAGGCCTTGGAAGGACATAACTCCAACATAGAGTGTCGGCGTGGGTGTATTAAAAATAAAAACTGACAAAAACAATACTTCAGCATAAAATATGAAAAAGGGGATCATTTTTGTTACAAAAAAAAATTTTACAGTAATTTTTCCCTTGCTTTCTCAAAAATACGAAAAATCCTATATTTTATGGAAGATCAATGCCCAAGAAATAAGAAAAATTGCTTTTCAACTTTTACATTTTTTATTTTTGTTTTTTGGACTTCAGTCAGGTTTTGTAGATTGGATCATTTTTCAAACAAAAGAGGTCCAAAAATGTAAGAACTTTGCACTTGAGTATCATGCTTAAATAAATATGTTTTATCATGCTTAAATAAATATGTTTTACAAATAAAATTGCCGCCTTATACAATCTTTTTCCACATATACAATTGTGATGATCAGAACACTGTCTTCTTCAAATGTGTATTTGTATTATGGGGTGCAAGCCTCACGCAATGGCATCTCAAATCTGGTTCGTGGCACAAAAACAAAACGGAAATCAGAGTAGATACAGGGCCTCTTGACTGTGTTCAGTTATTTATATACAAACCAAGGATTGGGTCATTTTTTATAAACTGCCAACCCTAAGTTTTGGTACTGACTAATGTTGACTCCTCATCAATTACATGGAGACTGACCTCCTCAAACCACTCTACATAACGAGTCTCAAAGTAAGAAGTGTTACAGTCATTAGGAAAGTAACTCACCCAAACCTTGGCTCCCAACTTCCACTTCATCACACTGCCCACCACTTCCTTCAACAACCTCCAACTTACCCCTTCCCCACACTCATTACCAGTCAAAATCACCCCTCCCATCTTGTTAAATGCCCGATGGGTCCCTGAATACCGCCTCCGAAAACTACTTTTCGGCTCACCGCTGCCGGAAACCACACCTTGCTTCAACGAGGCCACCTCGCTACCACTTGTGTTATCGCACAGAGCTGCGTCGAAAACAACCGTGCTTCCCTCTGCGTACTGCTCCACATTCCAACTCCTCAGCCTTTCCCTCGTCGAAGTACTGGCCATGGCATTGACTGTCGGTATTTTTGACTTCCCAAAGCTACCCTTCACAGTTCTCTTGTTCTCTACCTTTCGCTCTGGGTTCGCTGTCGACTTGCTCAGGCTCAGGCCCACCACGGAGCCACCTGAGCTCACTTCGGGTCCAATCATGACGGAAATCCTTGAAGGGAAGTGCTTCTCTCCAATGAGCTCCTCGGCAGCTCCAAACCCAAGCCGGGTGACATCAACCCTCACATTGTCGACCCACAATCGAAACATGGCGTGGTCCCCCCGAACCTTCACCGAGTACTCGAACTGGACTATCACCTCCAATTGTTGGTGCGCCAGGACATAGCGCAACACTGACTTACCGGTTTCAAGTAATCCCTCGCAGGCACGTTGTTTTGTAGCTCGACGTAAGGCCAGGAGCGGAGCGTAACCCTTCAGGGCCAAAAATCCGCTGGTTGCCCTAATGTACGAGTAAGATGAGGCGCCACGCTCTTTGTCTGGCTGGCTTGATCCTAGGTCCTTGAGCAGCAGTGACTTGGTGAGAGCATAGGCCAGGGCGCGCATGAACTGAAGCTCGAGGTCTGCACCCACTGCTAAGAAGAATGACCTCATGGCCTCCTTACACGAGCCCACATCAAGCCCAGAGGCCAGTGTGCGGAAATACAGCGACCCAACATCTGCCGGTGCATCAAAGGCACAGAGCCAAAAGAGCCTGCAAGCAAATGCAAAGTTGAAAAAGGCCGACAGAGTGGTGTATGGCTGCGCCAGGAGTGCGGCCGCCACACTCGGTTGGAGGAAAACACGAGGAGACGGCATGTGTGAGTCCGGAGCGCGAGCTATGGTCTCTTCAAGGAGTTGGAGCAGAAGAGGGAGGAGGGTTCTTTCCATGGAGTTGGTGAGAAGAGGGCAAGGGTTTGAAACCCAGAGAGTGTTTGGTGAGGGCCAAAAGCCAGGTGCACAGAGGGAGAAGGTGACTAGTGCTTCTGTGTTGGAGCCCGCCGTTCTCTCAGCCCTAAAGAGCAAACTCTTAGGGTTGCCTTCTTTGTTAGTAGTGGTGCACAGTTCTAAGTGTGGAGGGGAGGTTGAATCGGGCCATTCATCAGGGTTGGGGAGGCTCTCTATCCATGCACACACATCCATAGCAAGATGGGGTTATGTTTACAGTGGGAAAAGAGATTAAGTTTTTAGAGAGAGTGGGCAGGCTTATTTGGGAGTAAGAAAGAGAGAGGGTGAGGGGGTGGGTTTTTTTATGGTGGGAATGGATGATTATGGAGTGGCCACAAAAGCAATTCCTGACATCAGACAAAATGGGTGGCCTAGAAAAGTCCACATGTACATTTGGGGCTTGTTAATGGTGATGAATGGACGATAATGATGTGGCTTGTGACATTGGCTAGGGCATGAAGTTGTGGAAGAGAAGAGCGTGTACGTTTATAGCTCTCTCTTCACATATAGGAGTCGTATACAAGACCCTCTCCCCATTCCACCTTTGGCCTCTTCTCAAGCATCATTTAATTATCGATGAGGCGCCTAGGCTTTATGAAAATAAAATAAAGGCACACCTCAAATCTTTATCCGGAAAGTACTGAATGGAAATCTATATAATACCTCTAAAATCGATTTCTAATACCAACAATAAAATTTGAAACTCAAATATGGTACGGATCTTGCGAATGTATGAATAATTTTTTTTAAGGCAAAATAAACGGTGCAGATAATTTGTTATAATATATACTATTTTTAGAGGTTGAAATCCTAATTTTTTTCACAACCATAATGTTCAAGTCGAGATGATCGAAGTAATGGTTTTCCAATGCTCGACTTGCAATTTTTGATGAGTTATGAGGTGAGGATTTACTTATTTTGATAGGGTCCTAACGCTATCAAACCATTTTCTTTTAATTATACTAGTGAATATGATCGTGCATTGAATGTTAATCATTAAAATAAAATTTTAATCTCAAATTAAATTTCAGAAAGACATATTCGATTATAGATGGAAAGAAAGAGAAATTGATAGATTCATCTTCATATATGAGCTTCTATTAAATAATATTTTTTTTGTATTTTTAATTATAATATTTTCTTACTTATTCTAGGATTATTATTAAATATATTAATAAATATATTATTTACTTTATCATCATCATCATATCCTTTTCCCATCCATTTGAGGTTGGCTATATGAATCTCAGCCCACCATTATGCTCTATCAAGAGACTTACCCTCAGTGAAGCTATAAGTTCCCACATCTTCTCTCACTACTTTCGACCATGTCTTTTTGAGCCTATGCTTTGCCCTTTTTGAGCCTTCCACGCGAACCATCTTGCACCTCCTAATATGTACTGTATTGGGTATGTGATGCACATAGCCCGTGCACGTAGGCCTACTTTGTCTCTTCTTATTGTCTATTAGAGTCACACCTTTGTTCTCTTGGATGTATTCATTTCAAATTATATCTCTTCTTGTATTGCCACTCGTTTATCTCAACGTCCTCATCTACGCTACACCTAAGTAAATATATTATTTACATATTATTTTAAAAAATTAGAACAAATAAAAATATAAAATCGTATTACATAAACTTCAAATATATGATCACAATTCTATTTAAAACTAGTTTTTGGGGTAGTTATTTTTTAAAATAATTCCAATGATATTATTTGGATAGAAGTGGTGAGGAGAGATATGATGATCTATAGCCTGTTTGAGAGTATAACCCTTGATTGAGCAGAATAATGGAATATGATTGATGTAGCCCGACCCAAATAGTTGGGATAAGGCTCGAATGGTGATGATAAACTTCATTTATATTATTTACTTTTATAATTTCTATTTGCGGCTATATAATTTTATTTTTATATTTTTTACATTTTTACTTATGTTATTCACTAATATAAGTAAAATTAGTTTTACTTACCATAGTAATTATATTATTTACTTATAAATAAGTATTATTATGAAAAATTGAAAAACTAAAAATACAAAAAAAAGAAACTCATAGGAGTCTCACTGGAAAATGATGAAAAAGGGGAAGTTGGTGAGGATGATTTCTTATCCAAGGTACCCCACAACGCCTTTAGGAAATTAAATGTTAACCCAATAGCTTTCCTCATCAAAGAAATCCCAATAAGACTCGAGCATTGAGGATGGGCAAGTTTACAGATTAATTCAACAACCCGAGCTTCCTTTTGAAAAGCACCATCGGAAGGGAGTGGGATGAAGACCCACTATTGAATTTAAGCTTAAGATAACACAAGATCCACATATTTTCAAAATTAAGTCTCTGAAAAGATCCATGAGTACACCGAGGCTGAAGATCCTTTTTCTCAGTCTTATGGCTCTAGAATTGTTGGTCAAAGTACCAATAGGCACCACAAGGTTGTGGAGCTGTAGATGGGATAGTGAGAGGGTACTTCTAAATAGCGCTCCATGCACCCGGTCTTGACACCCCCTTACAATGAGGCGGTTTAAATTTCAAAAATAAAATTTAAATTTTGTGAAGACCCCAAGTTAACTCAAATTCGAATGTACTTAAAATTTAAACACATACTTTGGAATAGTTAACAATAAAAAGTTTTAAAAGGAAATAAAATAAAATAACAGTGAGCTTAGTAAATTGGGCAAGAGATTGAAAGACTAGCAAATAGAGGGTGATTTCCTATTCGAAAATATAAAGTTCGAATGAAGTGATTCACAATGGGGATCCAATGGAATAAAACAACCACCATTGAGAAGGTGTGGGATATCAACTTAGAGGCAAAAAACATCATAGGAAAACAAAGAGGACCTCCCTGCCACATGTAGAATGGGCAAGAAGATCATATCCTTGAAGGAATACGAGAAGTCCTTACCGAATCTAATGGAAACATTTTAAATAAAAGAAAGTTCTACAAACTCTTCTAAGAAATACAAAAAGATGAAAATTTGAAAGGAACCCACATGATGGGAAATGAAAAAATAAAGAACAAAAAAAGGAAGAAAATGTTGCTAGGATGAAAGCCCCAAAAGGACCTCGGGCCAATAATATGAAAGCCCCAAAAGTACCTCGGGCCAATGATAAAATAAGTTGACTCTCTCCATGTTCTCTATGTAATTTCTCTCTTCTCTCTCTCAGATCTCCGAAGTCTATTTTTGCTTTGCAGAAACTTTCACTCTCTCATTTGTCTCGAGTGGCGTCGGGGCCAAAACAATCAAGAGGCATTAATATGACAAATCATGGTTATAGTATATCTAAATAAATATGAAGGACCTCAACCATCTGGACTTTTGAGGTTGGTAGTGGAGGAATAAAATCGAGATCCTAAACATCTAAGGACAGTGCTCCGCATCTACTAAGTTGTGTTATGTTCAAAAACCCCGAGGATCATTTCTTTGGAATGTGGCAAGAGGACTAAGATCCAAGGGTGAGAGAATTCATGAATTAACTAAAAATGCATAGCTTTAAAGCAAAAATCAGGGGCAAAAAAATTATATCTCAGGTTTAGCTTTTGAGTTAGATTTTCAGTGAATGAGACCCTAAGATATATATATATATATATATATATATATATATATAATTGAAAGGGTGAGGTTTGTATATAGCTGAGGCTCTAAACAATCAAATTAGAGCCCACCATCAAATAGTGTCGAAAAATGTGATTTCAATCCTGAAAATCTTTGACCAGCCTTAAAATATATTTTTATCTTTAATTATAAAATTTAAAGCTTCAAAAATAGTGTAGATCGAGCATATCTAAAAAAACTTGCATAACTTAAAAATTGATGGTCCAAAAATGCATTACAAGATGTAATATTTCCAAAACTTGACATTCATTTTTTTCTCAAATCCATGCATCTTGATGTTGAGATGATCGATTTGAGGATATTTGGATATTAAAAAAACAATTTCTAATGAAATTTTTGAAGTAGGCTCTAATTTGATTGTTTAAAGCCTAGGCTCTATATAAACTTTTCCCTTATTAAAATTTCCACTAGAGGGTCATAAGTGATCAAATGGGAAGGCCCACATTAAAAGCAAAAATCTTTAGAAAATCCTTATTTTCATAAAAGTTTTCAAAATAAGGGCACGTTTGGCTCATTGAAATAGCTTTCCTATAGAAAATTAATTTCTTAGATTTAGATTTCTCTGTATTTTCTCATGTTTAGTAATACTATCTTGATTTCCTAAGAAATTGTTTTCTTTCGTTTGGTAAACTATTTGAGAATCTACTCTCCTAGAATCCGGAATATAAGTTACTCTCTATTTCTAAAAATCCAATCTTTCTTTCTCTCTCTAAATATCCAATCACTCTCTTTAGAAATCCAATCTCTCTTTCTCTATCTAAAAGCCTATTTTCTCTCTCTAAAAACTCAATCTTTCTTGCCCTTTCTAAAAATCCGTTATCTCTCTCTCGTTAAAAACCCATTTTCTCTCTCTAAAAACCCAATCTCTCATTTTTTTTTAAAAAACCTATTCTCTCTTTCTCTCTCTAAAATTCCAATCTCTCTCTAAGAAGTAATTCTCTTTCTAAAAACCCATTATTTTTAGAAATCCAAGGTCTCTTTCTCTCTTTAAAATTCTATTATCTTTCCGTCTCTAAAAATTCATTCTCTCTCTAAAAACTCATTCTCTCTAAAAGCCCAATCTCTTTCTCTTTTTAAAAATCTATTCTATCTTTCTCTCTCTAAAAACTTATTCTCTCTCTAAAAATCCATTTCTCTTTCTCTCTCTAAAAACCTATTTTCTCTCTAGAAACCCATTTTCTCTTTAGAAACTCAATCTCTCTCTCTCTCTAGAAACCCATTCTCTCGCTTTAGAAATCCAATTTCTATTTCTTTCACTGAAAACACATTTTCTATAGAAACCCAATCTCTATATCTCTCTCAAACCCAATTCTCTCTCTCTAAAAACCAATATCCTAATATCTTATTCTCTCTCTAAACTCCTAATATCTCTTTCTCTTTCTAAAAACCTATTCTCTCTTTCTCACTCTAGAAACCCAATATCTCTTTTTTTTTCTCTCTCTAAAAATCAATCTCTCTTTCACTATCTAAAAACTATTATCTCTCTTTGGAAACCCAATCTCTCTAAAAAACCCATCCTCTCGCTCTAGAAATACAATCTCTCTTTCTCTCTCTAAAAACCCTCCCTCTCTTTAGAAGCTTAATTTTTCTTTCTCTAGTTTAAATCCTATTATCTCTCTCTAAAAATTTATTCTCTCCCTAAAAATCCAATCTTTT